TCCGCGCTGCTGTTTCCAAAGAAAGACGACATTGGCGATAGTATCGGCAATATAATCGAAATAAAAAGCCGTATTGTACGCGTAGATATATAAACGTATAGCGTATAGCGGCAATTCCGACCTTGAAGAAGCAACTGCACCATTTATAGGCCTTGGGAGTCGTCAGCATTAGATCGTTCTTTCAACCCGACTACCGCCATATTAATTATGTTTCATGCAATTCGAGACAAACGACAACGTAGCACTACGATGCTTATACCATGATTAGTGAAATCTTACGACATTCATTATTGAATTCTAACTAATCCATAATAATCCAACAAACGAGTCGCAAATGTCATTGACGCTGAGTAGTATATACCTTGGTTGCTCGATTTTAGTCATCCAAACATCGCCTTCAAGCGCTGCATCAGACAGCACGCACAGTCGTTTCCGCAACCTGTCACAGTCCTCGCGGATAGGGTTTCAGGAAAAAACTCTCGCTGATTTGCCCTTCATTGTATATAAAAAGGTTACACCACGGATCATCGACGTAATTTTGGGCCTAATACTGGGATCCTCGTTTATGGTAACGAGACTAACGTCCTGCTCAGCGGAAATCACACGTTACACTTAAATTGAAGCTGGTGCCAGTTATGAATACTCCAACGATAATATCATGCGCTAAGTATGCTGCAATACATACAATACTAATGGTCTATTGCGGACTTACAGAATCAAAAAGTTTCTCAAGTCATTCAACTAATTATGCAATATAGCGGAACATGTATTTATATACGGAGAGCTTAATCTCTCAAACATTAATTCATATTGACAATCTGTCGATATTATCGACGATTTGTGGCATCCCCTGTTGTGAAAATAATTTTTGTAAAATCGTTCTTAGCCAGTTAACTCTTAGGTTTTTTAAGACTCTGTCAAACATGGCCAGAGTTATCTCTAAAACTTCTAAAACTAAAATCTCTAAAACTATCTAAAACTTCTAAAAAAATAATCCTAGACTTTATTGTAGCGTTCCTTCGTTATTCACAATCTATCTGCGATTGATTTACCTATCAGCTCAAATAACTACGTCGTTTCTTTTGATATTATTACTAAATTAATCGAATCTTCTGAAAGCTTAAAATTATATAAATGCGGTTACGAGTCAGTAGAAATTAAATATTAAATTAGATTTTTTTTGGTTCCTGTCACATCTTCATCATTATTTGCAGCAGCTTAGCTTTGCCCACCTATAAAAGCATACTTTGGCAAAAGAAGTTGCTGCTTTACAACAGCGAATGTAATCTATTGTGGTCCCTCACCTCATATCGTATATAAATTATATAAAGCCCCAAATTGACTTCGAATCTTCAAATAATTTCTGTTTTACTTAAATAATTCAGTTGAGTTCTATTCTTTAAGAGTCCGGCATAAACTTTATTCCGATTATTTCAAGCTATACGCTCGTTCTAATAGAAATGGCCTGTTACTTTGGCGGGCACTCGATGCCGCGTCTGTTCGATGCTGCGGCGCCAGGGGTATCATCATCTCCGCCAAAAGTTTATGGCAATATGCATTCACAAAGGGACTCACAAACACACTGCAAATTACGTGACTATCCGTGTGTGAGCTCAGTAAAAGTCACAATTAAGTCGAAGCTTGACTTCGCTCTTCATATAAACCGGCTAATTAGATCAGGGTCAACTGCCAATAATATGTTATACTTTGTTGACATCCGAAACAATACATCCAGATAACTTTGCAGTTGGGAACTGATGACGGCGTCACAGGTGGTCCAAACTGAGAGGCTAAATATGTTTTCGTGAAAAAATGTCCATGAACGTTATCAGAAATTCTTCAAAATAATGACATTGGTACGGTAGTTGTACAGACTTCTACTGTGAATACTAACGTCATCGTCCGTACTGCTGAGGTATTTCAAATATATTAATAGTATATTTTTCTTCTTTCTAATGAAGGTAATTTTAACTTAGCTTAAACACCAAAGCTAGTAGCACGCACAGTACGAAATGCATTCGTTATTTAATCCAAACAATTCTGGTTGTTAATTCGTTGGTATCGATAACGTTGGCCAAAAGACAAATGGAAATAAGTCTATATAATAGGGTTACACGTGCTCCGTATTTAATGTTAATATGTATTTAGGTAAGAATATTGTTGTTAATATGTGTTTAGGTAAGAATATTGTTTAAGTCTCTGCGAGTAAAGGCTGCGAGACGTCCAATGAAGTGAGTAATCTTTTATCAATAAAACCTTTAAAAACCGCAGTACCATAGTATAACTTAAATGCCTTTTGTGTCGTAATCGTCAAGCATGCCAAATCCCCCACGTTTATAAGAGCGTTGATAATCTTCATCATTGTAATAATGTGTATGCCCAATGTACAGAAGATTTATACGGGCCGTCTTGTAGTTGGGTTTCACTTATTAAACATATAACCACGCTACTACAACCCTTTACTGTTGACACGGAACGCACCGCATGTAGTGATTTATACGTATCCGTTCGATTTATATTACGGTATAAGGGCGTGCATCACTTGTTGCGTATGACTCTGAGTAGGTTGTTCTACAGTACTCAGTCGAAGTTCTTCACTTGCATTGAACCTACCCTAGTTCTCGCAAGCAGGGTTTGTGCGCATCAACCTCAACGCGCGTATCCTGTTCATAGCATAGCCAGTATAACAATAACGATAACAACATGATCATCCCATTACGCTTATCCTTATTATCAATGCCGCTTCCAAGAGCAGCGGCAGTAACAAACGCGTTCGTGGCATTTTTTTCCTTTGATTCTAAGTTTTCCCATCAACACCTCGCTACAACGCTGATGCTGCTCGCGTTTCCCTATATTCCTCGTCAATCAGTTGCCGTTCTGCTAGTCATTTCTGCTGTGGAGGAAATAGAGACCGAAGGTAGGGTCATACGGCGAACAAATGCAGCGCTCAGTCGCCATTCAGTGCACTATCGCAACAGCAGCTCCATCAGTAGAATACGAAAGCTGTATGGCGTTCGTGGCAGCAACGACAAGGTAAAATGCAGGTTTTTTTATTCATTCTTATTCATCTTCCATTTCTTCTCCGTATTACTCATTCCGCCAGCGTCGATGGTGCAGGCGTTGACGCTAGTTGGCTCATTCATTGACTGACTTGACTGATTCTTATATTATCATACGTCTATTTCTTGTTCCCCCTCCTTCACATATTTTTCATCTGTTGTCAGAGTCGCCATCAGACGCTACGGTAGTCTTTCGTTCTTTCGTCCGCTGGTCGTCGTGAGCCAACCACGTTGACGGCCCGCAGTGAGGCCAACTACCGCCCAGTCGCTCAATTGTTTACTTCTGCTCAGACTGCAGCGGTAGCCATCGACCTCGCAACAACAAAAATGGCACTTCTTGCAACAGCGATGGCAAGATCTGGTCAGAGCTGGTGGATCGAGCTGCAGCAGCTGGCGCCTCCTGGCTATGATGCTGTGCCCCCTTTGATCCTGCCGTCGTTGCTGTTTCTGGCGGTGGCGGCGACGGCAGCACTGGACGGACGCGGTGTTCAGCACAGTCGCTGCTTTGGCGAACTTCGCATTTCGCGGTTGCAGCAGTTACCGCCGCTGCCGACGCAGCCATCACTGCGACGATGCCACCGCAAGCTCCGAAGAGTAGCCGCAAAAGCAAGAGCGGCCCTAAGAGACCGATCGACCGATTAACCGACAACGACGGCTGACTGCCGACTAAATCTCTTTGCTTTTCCTGGTGCGAGACGTCATCATCACCATGATCATTATTATTGTCGTCGTCGTCGTCGTCGTCGTCGTCGTCGTCGTCGTCGTCGTCGTCGTCGTCGCGGTCGTAGTCTTGCTGTGCCGCTTCGTTACCGCTGCTACACTATATCTTGCTGCTACTGCCACGGCGCGGTTCTACGAGGGTCGCCCAGTCTGACGGAATGTAAGACCGACAAATTCATAGCCAGGCAGACTGGCATATACATAGACACACTGCAGACAGACACACACACACACACACATGTATATATATATATATATGTTGATATAATGTTTGTCTAATACAACGGTAGCAGCAGGAACTAATGCTGCTGCTGCTGCTGCACCAGAGTAGAATTCTTCAATGTTCCCGTTTTGATTGTTGCCGTACCGTTGGTCACCAGCTGGCCCGCAGCACAGACACAAATTGCTGAAAACGCGCATGGATGAGCGACAGGGGCGGCTGCGGCGTTAGTCAAAGATGACGACGACGACAAGGACAAGAATAACAAAAAATCGAGAAAGAAACTACAAAAAATAACACAGCGGACAGATGTCTTTGGGTACGTATCTAACTTCCGCCAGTTTTGCTACATATATATTGGTATGTGATATTAATTTAAATATGACCTATTATCGTGCAGCTTTTCGTATTCAAAAACCTGTTGCAGACATAAGAAAATCAATGGACTAATTTCCCGCATTGAATATTATTCAATTACGTCTATGTACTCAGACTTTCACAAAGTGAAACTAAGCCACAAATTTGATTCTTATGATATTTAAAGAAACCCTCGACACATTGCAGATATCCTCAGAGAACGAGTTTCTCTTTACTCGACTGGCACACACAATCGTACACCCAAGTACACTCGTGTTATTACGTCTATTGTTAACACCTTTACTGGCGTTTTGCTTTATGAAGCTTGTATAAGCGTACTGAGAAGCGAAAAGCCCGACTGTGTGACTAACAAATAATAATTACATTTAATTCAAAATGGTATTATTTGTGTCTACTGCGCGTACCGATAAACGGACCGTTCGTCAGCTTGTTATACGGTCTTGAATGAAGCCTTTCCTGATGCATAGGCACCTACTTTTAACCGTCTTGGATGGTGAGTTGAGATTGCATAACTACTATGATGATTACTTCTAGTGTGAGTCGTACGCATTCCTCAATGACACATCTACATAATAATAACAATAGTAATAACCGTAAAACATACAATAGCTTAGCAAGGTTACCTTCTACTCAAACTGATCGTTGAGTTCTTGATAACAGAGATGAATCCATGAGTCGGTGAAAGGAATATCTAAGCAACAGTAACAGCGATAACAAACGCAATAGAAAAGAACGTATTAAACATGGATCGAACAAAGATGCCTTGCAAAATTGTCGAATTACAATCCCACTTGTTCCAGTTGTTCGGCACCGACTTCTCTCTCATGACACCTGTTTTGCCCTCCACGAGAACGATAACACACCTTAGATTGAGAAACTCGACGAAGTGCCAGCCATTTAGCTGGCGGCAGGCGGTATCAGAATTCAATAACCAACGCCCTCTTTTTACGAATGCTGAAATTTCCTTACGGCATAGCTGACTGTTTTCTTGCATCTACGCGCCAGTCAATGCACGACACTCGGCAACTGCTATCAGCTGAAAGCTGTTGTTCCTGTTAGCAAAACATTTGCAAAACACAAATTAGCGTAGCCATTGATGTGCGCACCATACGCACGAGATCGCCGCAATGGTTGATTGGATTCCAGGATTGAGGATTCACTCTCCGATGGTATTCATGCTATACTTCTAGATTAGTTCACATTTAGCGCCAGGTCCTCACTTTGCGCCCGCTCTGTTTCCTTTCGTCGGTCGACTGCCTCTTCCATTATATGTGAGAAATTAACATGACATCATTTTAGGCTGATTATTGACATTGCAATCCAGGCGCTACAACCAGTGGCGATCCGGAGGAGGACAGCGGCGCTCGCGGCGACGGCGGGAGCAGTAGCGGCAGCAGCATCAACTGACGCCCTCAACAAACTCTGCGCTTGTTTTGTTGTTCCCCGCTCTCTCTCTAGGCTTGATTGGCTGGTGGCGTAGTTTGTGCACTCTGCTACCCTATTGACACTCTCCACTCTGCTGCTAGCCAACACTTCTTCTATGTATCATGATCGTCTGTGAAGTATTTACAATACAACCAGACGAAACAGGCTGAAAACAGGAGAGGCAAACCTTGGCGCACGCCTGCCCAGGCACCTTCTCGGTAGTAATAGGCGGCAGCCTGAACTCCAGTCGTTTCAACGGAAGGCCGCAGAAATGAGAAGGCGAACTCGAAACTGCTTGTTCCGTATCTTTTATGACACCGACATACGCCTGTGTAATCCACTACTTACGATGTCACTTGAGCTGCTGCTAGCGCTTTGGTACACAAACCGCATTACGAACACAGCTTATGCTGTACCGATAGAGGTCTAACTTGTATAGAAATTTACATAGTCGCAAAAGTAATGAATTGTTGTTGCAGTATTTGCAGCATAGATTATTTGGCGCTACTTTTACTGCTGTTGCTGTTCCCGTAAAGCTCGTCACCAGTTTGCTGTGGACCGCAAAGCCACTCGCACTGCTTTTCCGCAAACAAAACAACAATGCCAGTGTGACTAGCCTGCTCCAGTGACGTTTCCTTGGCCCTCGTCCAGCATAGCTACTGATCGCCTGCGTATTACTGGAATGATCCACGACAGCCAGTTGCACTTATCTTCGCAGAAGACAGCACTAAGCGAAACGAGCAACGAATACAGCTAGAGAGCTGAGACAGTAATAATCCCACACACATGCTATATGAGAGACATACAAAGTGTACCCGCAGCAGCAAACACACACCAGGGAAAGCACGGCCAAACAGAGAGGGCAGCTGTGAGATGAAATTGCATAGAAGGTTCACTGTGTAGAACTGGGACGCCTAGACTTTCATTGGCCAAGCCCAACGATGGCAGATCGATCCTGACTAATTACTTTCAAGGATGACGTTGCGATACAGCTTCACCGATTTAAACAGGTTCAGAAACTCGGAAACAAACACGACACATTTCAAGCGCAGGTTTTTATAAGTTGGCCCTGTAAGTTACGCCATTTCTAGCTACCTGCTAGATGATTACTGCTGATTCTTCGATATAAATTCTTTGTGCACTATAAGAATTTACGCGTTCCGTATGAGACCTTTGATGTTACTTCTATCATCACGTTAAGCACTGTAATCGCTATAAATTCTAACTCATATTTTAAAGGAAGGGCTGGTTAAGCGCAAACTTTGTAGGACTTATAGGTGGTGCAAGTGAACGACGTTTGGCACTAATCTATCGGGCTTAAAGAAGAGACAAAAACGGTTTCCTCTTGTTTTTATTATTATTGTTGTTGTTTTTGAACAGTATTAACATTCGACAAAATTGTAATTTGACAAAATCAATAATTAAGTAATAGTTTGTGTACTGTTAATTTGAAACAGGTTCTTACTTAGATGAAAGTTTATCACTACAACACGAAGTTACGAACTACTTCTTAAAGGCGACTGGTTTGGCAGATCGGGATGTATTGTAATCTCCTTAATAACAATACAAACAAAAAAGTCTATGTAAGTTAAGTTTACACCACCTACAGGTCAAAAATGAACAAAGTCCCTATGAAAGGCCTGACATGGCAAAATACGCGTACCTGTGGTATCTAATGGATACGCTAATTAAATGATCAAAACTTTTATTAAAAAATAACATGGGCTAATCTGCACCCCGTAAATAAATTTTAAAAAAGTATTGAATAGAGTTCTTTCGGTACGACGATTGCCTTTGGTTCATTTACATATGGAGTCTGGCGCGCCAGTGATTGTCAACAAATGGGAATTTTAAATAAATTAACACGCCGAATCCAGTTTTCCATAGCATTGCTGCGGGCCCCTAGCAACAGTTAATTTTTACTCAATTATATAACGTCGCCGGCGAGCAGAAAATATTTCATCATGTCATGAGGATTCCGCTGAATATAGAGTCGAGTGTGCCAGTTTTACAAATGGCTATATTTAATGATAGCACATTTAATATAGCCTCCTAATCCTCAGGAGTGACACATATTTTCGACTTCATTTTAGTGCATTTGGATAAGGCTCTAGCCGTTGTGCACTAAGGTATTTATTAAATTACAACTTTCACAGTTGCGAGTCCGGCTTCAACAAATCAGGCGACCAAACCAGTAAAAATTTGGATATTTTTGGCCAGTACTGCTTTAACTAGCTGCCCCAGGTGCGAAACGAAATGTGCATATGTTGAATTTCGAACTCTGACTATCTTACCTACCCTTGAGTTTATCGAGTCGACAATAATATCATTGACTGCAATATATATATGTATATTGAAAGCTTTTTCGACATTATTATTTTGTTCATCAATGACTTAGTGGTTGCGTGATCGGTACTGGTAACTTGCATGAATCTTTTCATGCGAGTACATAAGGCAATAGTTTCGCTTTGTATGTGCCCTGAAAAACAAGTGGATTAGGCTGGATTTGCTCAGTTGTTAGTCACTTGCTCCCGACCCTCTGGCGCGCCGTAATCCGTAACGCCAATGTCGTCTGCTACAAGCTTCTAGGCTCATCATATGCTACGAGCACAATATCGATCGCAGCGCCGACGTTCGAGCAACGACTTCGGTAGACAAACATTAGTAGGCTGGAGCAGCTTGTAATACCAGTGAAGAGCTTCATCATTCACCGAAGAGCGGCAGGGGGGCAGCAGCTGCTTCAGTTATCCGACGGATGGGGAAAGGAACAGCTCGGGTGGCCTGCTAAGGTAGTGTAATCAAGTAGCCTCCGAGGAGTAGGCAAGCACCGAATCCTTATTAGCCGCTTGCGATAAGCAACAAAGGAAGAAGCAGCAGCAAAAACGAACAGTCGTTCTGGCTGTCCATCTTACTGTCTACCTGTCCAACCGCCAATCAGTTGGGCTTCTGCCACAAAGAGTACCAGCGGTAGTGAGTAACGGAACGAGACAGGGACTTTGAAGCACATAATTCATGAAAAAGTAGAGTGCATATGTTTGTACGTTGCTTTTTAGACAGAGAAGCCACAAAATTGCAGTGTTGTCAGGTGCTAAAAAGTTGGCAGACGAGATTTATATTAAGTATTGTGATTGAATGACAACCCAAAGCGACGAGACAGTGTCAATTCGTTCATATATTTCTGACCACCAATCAACCAATTACATTGAGTGTCTGGCCAATATTGGCATTCTTCATACAGCTGCTGACAACTAAGATGTCGCGAAAGCTTTTTAAATGCTCGTCATCGACGCCCGCTCTGCCTTTGTCGACGCCGTAGGGTTTGTCCCTAGTCCCTGTTATCTATGGGCAGCTGCTACGATGAAGGCGGCTGCTGTAAACGATGTGAAGTCGTTAAGTGTCGGATTTTTTACTAAACAAATTGAATGTGCAAGTTCGCTCTATTAAGAAACTAACGTCGATATTTACCCATCGGTTACCTTGCTATTCAGAACATGCTAAACGCACCATAGTCGTCAGTCATAGCAGGATAGGCAGCGTTATAAATGACTATGTTTATTTTTGCGTGTGTGCATTGTGTGTGATCTTATTACTAGTATTATTATTATTACTATTATTACCTACTGGATATTATTTCTCGAGTGGCCGGGAATTGAGTGATATAGTGAACATCGGTTGCCGTTGTAAAGACTTTTTCTATCCTTTCCTTCTGGCCCTCACCAAGAGAGATCATAACCTTCATCCCCTCCAGTTGCGAAGAGTGGCAATGGCTAGCGATCCTCATGGCTCGAGAATCAGGTTAGTCTTTGACGTCAAACAGAGCATTAAAGAAAACGTGATTGCAATGACGTTCCTAATATTTACTCAGTTCCGCAATGAGAGAATAGAAGCAAGGTGCTTTTTCTTGCAACGGAAGGTCTCTCAGCTGACTAGAGCAAATGGATGTTATACCCTATTCATGCGTTATATCGTGTAAAGCATGTGTTCTTTAGCCTATTTACGAGCTGATCATCCATCAGTGCGGCGGATAGCTGAGTGTGGTCTATATGTGCCTCGGACATTGCGGGTTATTTGAATGATCAAGTGCTGTCTTAGGCTTTCGGATTACTGATCTCATACAAGTGATTACCGCTTGTGTGTGTTTCCATATGAAGTGAACCAGATGGGTTGATTCGGTGCTGACTATTTTGTCTGCTCTTGAGTTTGTAATGGGAGACAGTAGTATATCAAGCAGTACTGAATTGGCACAATGCGCGTCTTTTGGAATTCCAGCAAAAATAGTGCCTCGACTTTTATTGATTTCTTTTATCGGTTATTATTTTATTTTTTGTTCTTATGTCGGCCTTATCTAGTGCTTTTTGAGTAATCAACGCTGTCACCGCGGTAGAACCGTGAGGACGATGTGCAAATTAATTCAGCTCTAACGGTTATGTCATAAAAATTTCCAAGAACGATTGTATATTTTTAGGTTAGCACCGGGTCGATAGATAATGGAATCATGTTGAGCGATATGTGTATATTATGAGCAGTGGATAATGATGTCTCCTTGTATTGCCCTTCTTTACATGATTTTTAGGTCGGATCCTGAGCGGCTGTACACCGTGTTCGCAGAGGTCGTTCTTCCGACACAGAATAACGAGCAGCCATGGGTGCTGCGAACATTCCCACACGATTTTAACAACCAGCAAGTACTTAAAATGGTAAGCAGACAGATGCTCCTTTTTCAAATAGATTATTCATCTGTCAAAGGACAGGGTCAGCTTACACCCGTGCGTTCTCTATGGCTTAATATGGATCGTAGAGGGGCGTAATCTGTTTGTAAGTTTTTTAGAGTCATCATTGTAGTGCTGTATATGTACCACACGACATATTGGCCCGCACTCAAGTAACGCGTGGGCAAAACGCAGGCCTGATAAAAAAAAACAACCTACGATAATACTGGAGCCAATGTTAAGGGAAATTACATAAGATGTAAAATATAAAACAGTATTATGCATTTTTAATCAGCAGTGTACTATGTTTACGAGATGAACTTGCGCCCGTAAAAGTTTGCATTTTTTAATGAATGAAAATCGGAGTTAGCTTGTCATGATAAAAAAAAATGAAGTATCTGTCTTATTTTGGTATTTGGTGAAGATAAATGCCGAAATATTATCAATATTATCAACAACTTGGTTTCTGTGATTTCTAAATCTAATGCGTGTATAATTAATGTTGCTAGTTTAATTAACGTATTATTATTGGTCCACAAGTATATAGATAATGTATTCCACGGATTTATTATAAGAAATATATAGGAGCTATTTTTGTTTCATTGAAATTATCGTATGCCAAGATATGCCAAAAGCCTTGATTCGTTCGAAAAGCCGTGAAAGGCAAAATACGAGACTATTCTAACATTTGAGAGCATTCGAAACCTAATTTCTCATAATCGACTTGTAATGCTCGCGTTTTATACTTCATAGGTAATGGAAGCATCTTTTTGTATTACTCCACAAATAATTTTATCTGTATTTGTTATTAAATCCTAGATCTGAACATGGCCCGACAAGCCGCTAAGTGACTTCGTTACTGTCACAGCTTCTTTCGGAGCATTTTCCTAAAAAAACAAAATACATCCAAGGCCAATAGCCATCTAAGAACATCCGTTTACGTCGATGAATGAATGAGGCTTGCCGTCAACCCTTCGTAGTTTTCCAAAAATAATTTATATTTATATACCATCGTAGTGAAGTGAAATATTTCAGTGAAATTCGCCGCAGT